ACTGTCCCACAGGGAATGGCGTTCCTTTGGGATTAAAGGATTTCTGCTTTCACGTCGCTAGCTCCTCGCGTTTGACTAGATTGTTTTCGCTGACGATACTTTTGAGATCGAAAGCCTATGTGTACTTTTATTTTTACTAACTCTGCTTGCTCAAAGAATTTCTTTTCCATTAATATTTTAATATCTTTATTCTGAATAATATTTATCACAGAATTTTATATAACAGCATGAAAAAGATTGTTCTCGAGATATGAGATTATTCTTTAAATTGAGCATTTGAGGAAGATTGTATAAATATATTTCGCACGAATAGAAATTCTTTATAAACAACTGTAAATTTTTTTAGCATCAGATCAAATGATGAAACTAATTTTATATTAGAAAGTTGTTATTATTTTTTGCATGTTTTATATAATTAACAAATTTCAGAAATTGCATGTATAAAATTAACTTTTCTATCAAACAATTATATCAGCGCAAAAATATAAATCAATATGCGGATATTATACATATATGATAACTAAAATAATCTTTAATTATATTGAAATTTATTGTCTTTATATTTATGACGTACTTTAAATGAAAAGAGCGGAGTTTAAAATCTCGAAAAAGATTGCAGTTAAGTTAATTACAGTTTGCTGTTCTGAGCATCGACAAGTTTTCTAGGTTTATACTTTATCACTTTCGTATCGTTAAAGGTTTTACGTCCTTGTACGTTATCGCTTCACAAGGTATGGATCCGGAAAACGCGGCAACGAGAGTCGCCGACGCCGCTGTCCTCATTTATCCGTTTGATCAACTTTATCAAAATTATTTTAAAAAGTATTTATTGTGCGCGCACGAATATTGATTCATATAGCGTAATAGTTCTTACGCACTCATATTTTTTTGATTGCGACGGAAATATTCATCTATAAATATTGCATATAGTTATGCATATATTTATGCATTTTTAAATATATTCTAATTATAAATTTGAAATCTCTGATAAATTTTAGAGGAAATTTTCCTTCAGGTCTTATGTTTTATAATTTATATTGTGTATTTTAAAGAATATAAACACATGACATTGAAACACATTCGATGGTACATACACTTCGTTATATCTATTAAAAATCATACATTACATAAATTACTGATGATTTTTTTTCAGACACGCTATAATACATTGTTATAACATACATTATAATCACGTCCTAATTTTTATGTTTCCGTTTTGGTACGATGTGGACTTAAAGTCATGATTTCTTGGCTCGTATTCAAGTTGAAAATTAAATCTAAACAGAGGAAATTGCCGCATATTTCTCTCTCAGCAAAATTTAGTTTACAACAGAGCGTGCCATAGCGTAAGTGTTCTGTTTCGATGTGAAGACGGAAAAGTCGAGATTGCATCACAAACTATAAGAAAATTTGCAAGAAAGCAACGAGCTCTTTTCAGAAGAATGTATATGATTATAAATTTTACTCACGTGTTAAAATTTTTCTTTTAACGCACTTAAAAACAACTTTTTCTTTTCTCTCGCGCGTGTGTTTATTTATATTAATATTAATATTTCTCTTTTTATTATATTAATTATCATAATTATCATAATCTATAATAATTATTAATCATATATAAACATAATAAATAATAATTATTTTTCATGGTTATATGTATTTCTTATCTATGTTAATATAATTCTGGTGCGTTAATCAAATCTGCCGAATTACTTCATTGGTAGTTAACGTGCGCAACGTGAAATGGGATTATAATGACCGCAACAATCCTCCACAAGTTTTACTCTTATTTGTGAAAGTGCTTATTGTACGATTTATTACATATGCAGTCGAACTTACTGTTGCGATCCGATGCAACTTATAGGCGAGAAGGCAATTTGGAATGCAAGGCTCGATCTCTAAAGGATAGACTGGAAAAACGAAGAGAGACGTTTAGAAAGGCCACTTATACGATCTCAAGATATATTTTGTGAAATGTCTAAAGTCTTCCGATGTTGGACATAGTATTACGATACATATATATTTATTTTCATTAATAATTGGAGCGAATATAAAGAATATAAAGATTTATTCTGTTTATCTGAAGATATATCAGAAATAGTAAATAATTATTAATGCATATTGATAATGACTCAAGATCGTATTTTGTTACAGTTTTATTCCGTAATTTTATGTCAAGGAGAAAATGCGTCGCGAACGAAGAGTATAACACGTATATGCACGCAGGCACATCCATCGAAATTCGCAGTGCAACTTCTAATTCATTGCAACGGGCAATGTCGACATCGCCACTTATATAACTGTAGTTTAGCAATTTCCAGAGCAACGATATTAGCTAGCCGCTCGCTTTTGCAGTCAAATTTCGGTCACCACTCGTCGACACGAGTCGCGGAATTGGTTACATTGGTCCCTCGTGTGGTGGAAACATTAGAATCCTTCTCCCCAAATCGGCGAGCCTCGTGCATTGCCTTTACTACCCTTAATTTTGCCACTTTCCAGGAGACATTAGCAATAACTACATCTCTCTTGCTGCATAAGTAGGTAATGATTACAGTAATAATTATCCTATAATCACATTATACATATGGATGCATGCACGAGAAATTATTTATACGATTTATATAAAAGAAATAAAACGGTTCTATATGTGATCGAATCGATAACAATTTATTGCATAATAATATGTAAATCTTAACGATGTGCCATGTTAGATTATATTAGTTATTTGCAAAAAGTAATATTAAAAACCTTAATATTTCATTAAAATTAGATATAAATAAATACTAAATTAAATATCAAATATCAGTAGTACGAGTTTTATTTATTAGTGATCAATTTAAAAAATAAATAAATACAGAAGTTATTTAATTAAATATCTTTTTCTTTCTCAAAATCAATATAATCAATTTTATCGCACGAGCTAATAATTAGTTCTCTGAAAATATTAATTCATATAAAAGGCACTTGGAATCATTTCTCTTGAAACATGTCTTGCTATATTGTGGATATGCAACGTTCGTATTGTATAACAAATAAAAAAAATCTGATGAGAAAGATAATTTTACATTACGTTTATATAAATATTCCTCACGTGTTTTATCGTAAATCTCGGCAAAATAGATAATAAGATATAAATTATAAAAAGCAATGTGTGTACATAATTATATACGTAGATGTGATTTTATGACCGTCCGATCGATTTTCTTCGTGCAATTTTTTCTTATGTTGATTATGAACTTGATTATGGCTTTCCGACAAGGCATGTCAAGGGAACGGGCGTCATATGATTGGTTCCCTCGTATGGTTACAAAATCGCATTAGCTCGGGGTTAATAACCGCGGATATCGCGACCTCGGATCACCGGCCAATTATCCCGGTCTCGCCAACGAGCGTCGACGAATCACCGGTGTCGGTGAGGCAAAATGTTCATCCTCGGTTTTCACGTAGCTTTATCGCAATTTTCCACCGCGTAAGAGCGAACTTCCGCACACAATTTTCCCCTATACAATCTTTTCGCGAATTTTTGTCGCCGCAACGTCGCGTCCACCATCCAGGAATTAGCTAAGTGTCCGATTGACACATCGCCGTATAAATTAACGTAATCTAACAATATATAATTCGTAACTAATTCGACAATATTACTGATATACCAATACATTTCGGCCAACAGTATTTTCTCTTTTGATATAAATTTGATAAATATTTGATATTACACATGTTATCATATTTCAATATTTTGTATTTACGGCTCTGATCATGAAATTAAATTTGCTTTGAGTTAAATTTAATATGTATATATATATAACTTGTGATACGTATTTACTGTTGACATATTTTATCGATCATAGATGAGAACTAACAATTACTTCGTTATTCTATAAGTATATGCTTATATCAGAGAATTAATTGCAAATATATAGACATAAAAATCTTATATTTTTGTATCTTACAGTCTCTATTCTTGTTTTGTTCTTTTTTTCTTTTTTTTTTCGTTTGTATCACCTATTTATTTGTTCTTTCAGCCGCGTAATTAATCGTTACTAATTAATCACTTTGGTTGTTGTATTGTAATGGACGCGAATATCAAAAACATGGATGTTCCGCGAGAAAATTACCGTTTCAATAATTTGTAATGAAGACTCAAACAATGCAGAAGGAAATGGAAGCTAAACAAAAGCAACGTTTGCAGTGTTTTGATGCGTGTGCGCGTCTATTACAAGTCGAGCGATTTGAGACAGAATGGAGTAGAGTAGAGAGACTGACAATGAGAGAGAGAGAGAGAGAGAGAGAGAGAGAGAGAGAGAGAGAGAGAGGGGTATGCAGACGACGGACTATTATTATGCGTTTGTTATGTTAATCGCTCTCTCGTGACAGATCCGCTGCGCCGTATAGGTCAACCCCGTTATACTAACTCGATGCTGAGAATGCATGTCGCGTGGGTATGAACCTATACGAGAGACAGCAATGCAAGACGGAGCACAAGGAATATTAATTTGCTGTCAAATATTTGACTATATATATTTAACAGCTTGTGACTTTATAACGTATTTTTAACAAACTATTAAGATTTCTCGAGTCTTTTCGACATTCCAAGATATTTATTCTACTTTAAAGTCTACATTTTTTCCTTCGTTATTACCTCGATGAGATTTATGGAACCCCTTCTCCTTAAAATCACCGAAAAATCAATAGGTCAACACTTAATACAGCGTTATCTTGCCAATTGTTGCTAATTATCCGTGATTTGGAATCTCTTAATGGCGGCTACTTAGGGGTAAGCCACGCGTCTCGGAATGTCAAGGAACTCCGCTCGCTATGCGAACGCGATGGAAAAATGCGGGCCATTGAACAAAGAAGAAACAGCCCCAGCCACGGCACGAGAGAAAGAGAGACATGAGGGTGGTTATACGCGCGCAGGAGCGTAACGCAGGCGCGATGGGCCACAGCCCCATTGCCGGGGGTGGCAACCCTCCGAACGGGGTGGCCGCGAGACACTCAGTCCCGTCTCGCTTCTCACCGAAGAAAACCGGAAATGGTCGTAGTCTTCGCGCGCACTGGCGGGAAAATCTCTACATACTCGTCGCGATCGCATCCTCGCGACTGTGCGAATCCGCTCGGTGCTCGTTGTCGGAATTTTGTTCTCGTTTCTCAATCGTTGGACGATCCCTTGCGGGTATCACAGTTCCGTGACACTTCTCCTCTTGCGCGCATATCGTAAGTCGAATATGCGATAGTGATTTTTTTTTTTTATGTACAAAGAAAGTTCCGGAGAAATTGTGACGGATATTGATAAGTGTACAGCGGAGTTATCTATTTTTCCCTTTAGATGCCATTCCCCGACTACTATCAGAGAGGGTGAGAATGCAAAGTATAGGAACAGACGAGAAGAGAAAAACGAAGAAGGGAAAACAACAAACGAAAAATAAAATAGTGATTTTTCAGTGAAAGTTGGTCTCTATCTAGATCCGGGATTGAATTTATTACGATATTGGTGGAATTTAATTTGTCGGACGTGCTGCGTCAAAAGTATACTAATGCGATTAAATGGTGACGAAAATAATCTTGCCATCGTGTTTATGTTTCGGGGGAATGCAAAAAGGATTCGTACGCGACGAGCTTATGAATATTATGCAAGAGAAAATGCAAGTACAGTATAATCTGTACCTACGTATCTTAAAAATATCACGTTGAAAATTTAGGATAAACTCATTCTTGACGTAACAAAATCTCTCGAATACAATGTTGACGAAAATTACTATTTCCGCCATTCCTTTGGCGCGATCATTTTGCTGATTAGACATAATTTCGCAAATTCAGCGAATTTACTTCATTATACACTAAAATGTTCTATACCTTGTACGCGTTCTATGACAGACGAACAAAATTGCGACAAAATTTTGACGAATTTTATAAAGATTTTAATATTACAAGTTACATAGAAATATTGTTATACACCATTTCATACAAACTTATATTCTCGTAACGATATCGTTTTACCTCTACTTTGCAACACTTTGTCGAATTAAGTTAAATTATTTGAGCTCAATAGCGTTTGACTTGATGCATTCGCTGTTTGGTAATTATAAAACATATTAAATATAAAAACAGATAAACAGATAAATAACAAAGCCAATGAGTATAAAATATTAATTTATGAAGGGAGAAATAAACGCGATTTAATTACATCAAAGAAATGTAAATATTATTATTCTCATTATGAAAATTGAATGTTATTCAAAATTATAGTATTTAATAATTATGCACTTCTTTCAATTATATGTAGATACTTTTAATGAATATTGTGCATGTATGAATTGGTTTTCTCTCAGTGAAAATATTATTTGGAATCTGATTTTAATTCAGTTATATGTAATGGAATAAAAGAATTTCTAGCTGATTAGTTAAGGATAAAATAATTTTTAGTTGGGAGATTTTTGTTTGTCAATTATTAATTTCAGTTTAATCTAATTTTTTGTTGAAATTTAAATATATATTTAATATTGAAAATTTTAATTAGAATTGTTACTAATTTTTAATTAAATTTTGGCTAAGAAAGGATCGGTTTTAAAGTGCTGGTTATTAAATTTTCAACTTACCGCACGTGTACAACTTTTGATTTATACTGTATTATATTCATTCGCGTACATACTTACTCTTATGTAATGACAGGTATTTAAAGTTGCACTTACGAAGTAGACGAGTCGCAAGTCAATTAATTTTATTTCCATATTTGTATTTTAGCAATATTTATATTTTAATTAAAAATTATACGTTATTATGCAATTTGTTTAATTGGTTTAATAAAACGACGTCACATCTCTCAACAATTTTGTTTACATCATTAAAAGAAACATAGCTTTATCATTTTCTTGGTAATAGAAAGAAACAACGATGTATAATATATTTTTGCATTAAAACACAAGTATTAAAGCAAGAAAAATAAAGATTAAATTGATGGATCGCGTAATATGAAATAATACTCCGTAAATCGTCGTCATTCGTTTTAATTGCAGTTTCGTCTTGAGACTGCTTTCTGTAGCCATTATCTTTTTGAATTTTCATATCACTATACGATATACGATAAAAATCGTATTAGTTGTCGATTTAGTTATACGGTAGCGCAATAATGGCCTTGCCATTATTGCGCTACGCTTTTCTTCATCTCCGGCGAACGGGAACGATGTCTTCTCACCTTTTGCGACTCATCGAAGCTTTATTGGTTTGGCCATTACTTTCTGACGAGGATCTTTGAAAATTACTAGATACCGAATATATGATTGACAATAACATCAACGCTGTTGAAAAGGCAGATCGAACGTTTACACGTATAATGCGTAAAAAATATAAGAAAGGTGATAATGATGGAGAGAGTGAGAGAAGAGAGACGAGAGGAAAAGTCACGATGGCGAGACTTGCCATCGACTTAATACTCCAGCAAGAGACCTCGAGGGGCAAGGAGTTAGTCCTGCTTGAAATGCAGCCGGCGCCCGTTGAAGAACAAACTCCCCTCTTGAAGCTCTCTCTTTATCTCTTTCTCGCTCTCTTCCTCTCTCTCTCTCTCTCTTTCCTTGTCGGTATCATCACCGTCGCCTCAACTTCATCGGTTCGCACTCCGGTGACAATCCTCCCGTACCTCTCTCCTCGTTGTCTCAGGAAACACAGCATGCAGTTTGAACGACGAGCTGTTTCACCCGACTCGGTTCTTATTTATCTCTCTCTCTCTCTCTCTCTTTCTCTCTCTCGTTCTTATCTTCCCGTTCTTCCTATGTCAATACGTCAATCTTCGTTTCGCGCATCCCTTTGTCACACAACTCTCTTCTTAAGAGAGACTGTATTTTAACATGGTATCGTCGCGGTGGTTGTTGGTGATTCCGATTGTCGGCTTTAACGAATATCGATTGGTCTACTACGAAGACGACCTATGTACTTCGGTCGATAGCATCCAAACAGGATTTTAATTGCACGCAAAGTTTCGTATTGTTGCGGCAAAGCATCGCCATGTTTTCTACGAATCTTTAATTCGAGACTTAAATTAAAAAGAAGCTTAACTATTGAAGAATTAAGAACTTGCTAAGTTCTCTCTCTCTACCTCGATAGCATTTTCTCCACTCAATACAAAAAATAATGGAGTAATATAGTTTAATATTTTACTTGATTTATATATATTTATTTGTTAAAAATTTATTCGTTAAAAATTTTTTTTTTTTTTAGTACGCGATTTAATTTTGATATTCGAAAAATTTGTTTACTTTTGCTCCCATATTTTACGATTATACGGAATTTATTATAAAATTTTATTGGTATAAAATAGCAGAAAAATTGCAGTTTCAAGAGTAAAAGAGAGAAATAATTAAATTGATAGAAAAAGAGAGGAAGAGAGAGCGAGCTAGATATTGAATCGACAATTTCGGCTACAGGCGCTCCGCGCTCCTAAGAACGAAAATAGAATCATTTCTGCTCCATCCTGTCGAAATCACACGGCAGGCGTGAAAATAAATCTCTCAAATTGTATTCGGCGCAAAATGAAAATCATATTCTCGCGAAACGAGAGATCAGAAAAGAGATCCGCTTGGTGAAGCGCGGTTTACCGCGAGGGTGTGCGACGGGACTGCCACATCGCATAACGATTTGTTTTTGACTTACGAGGTCGACGCGAGAAGGGTGTCGTCGGAAATTTGCATCTCCTGACTCGAAACTGAGAGAGATTCGATACGTGTGTCAGTCGTAACGCGTGCTATAACGCACATAAAGTCAAGCCGATTTTACGAGTTCGTTTAACGTTCGCCTGCGGATCGAGGGGATCGGCACTCTCTGAATAAATTAGCATTAACATACAGCTACTCGTACCTACGACGTAACCCACCTGGCAACCCTAGATGTGACCCCGCGCTTTGGTAAATCCCAGGAGACTCCTACTTGCTAAAGTATCTGACTCGACCTCGACACTCAACGTAGGAAATAGATTTACACGGAAAACTTTACGAATCTCTCAATGTTTAACAACATTTCTATATTTTATCTGAGAACTGTGCATGACATTAATATTATCTGTAGAATTTCCTCGTTTAAAGAGCTAAAAATCACTTTCATGAAATAAAGCATCCATTCTCTCTCTCTCTTTTTCTTTTGAATAACTTCGTGTTACTTTACAAATTTATATAAATACTTTTTTATAAGAAGTCATTTTATAAGTTTTTTAACTTATACATATTATACGTAGAAAAATAATTTTTTTAAAATATGTATTTTAACAAATATCTGCAAGCAATATAATCGCGCAAATATATTTTTAGTGTAAGAAATAAGAAGAGTAAAGAGTATTCGATTCTTCATAATAAATGCTAAAAGACAAAGAGAAAGTGAAAAAGAAAAAGAAAAAGAAAGAATATATCAAGAAGAACAAAATAATATATAACTAATTTCTTTTCAAGTATATTATAGCTCGTAGAAATATATACCGCTTCTT